GGATATGGAAAGGGTTGGAATAAAAAGGAATATAGCTTCCCTGGCGCGTGCTTGCTCATGAGATGGTTTTTCAATGGGACACGTGACAAGGAATAATCTTAATGTAAGTGGAATTGTCTTAAACATTGGAAAGGAGTGTTTATGAAGAATTGTGAGTTTAATTATTAAGGTAGATTGATTTGAGTGAATGATGGTGAATGAATTTTTTGAAGGATTAATCATTGGAAAAGGAAGTGGAAGTTTATTACAAGGTAATGTGGAAGTTTTAGAAAATTTATCGTGCAAAAAAGAATGAAGATTTTGATAGAATTTAATAGATTTGGAATCTTGTGATTGGAATAATTGAAGAATTTTTTTTTTAGGTTTCCTGTGATGAACTGATCAATTTGGAAGAAATAATATAGTGATCAAAATTAAGATTTTCAAATACGAATTCCAGAAATTTTTAAAATTAAACGAAATCTAATTATGTTTAAATATAGAACGAATATAATATTTCTTTAAAAAATTTCACCTATGATAAAATATATATTGTACTTTTATACTCGAGGCCAATGTTTTTATTTAATAAATTTTTGTTGTATTTAATTGATAATATTTTTTTATTTCGTAATATTTTACTTTGGAAAATCGAAGACGTTAAATGAAGACATTAAATCGAGAATGGTACTATATTTAATGAAGAATTGATTAGCTTACACTGATTAATACGATTGAATAATTATGGAATCGTTTAGCAACAGTAAATTTAATTATTCTTCCCGAGTAACAAGTATAATTATTATTAATAACAGGGTAATTTCAGTTTCAATAAAGAAGGAAACTATTAGCTAGGAGCAGTCCCAACTCGATCTGCTCTATTAATTTCTAATTTGTAATGATCTGGTTCTCGATCTAGATATCACTCGCCATTTATAACGATTTTTTTCCCCTTCTAATATCTCAACACACGAGAACGTGAAAGAAATAAATCGAGACCGATATATCGATGCACGAACAAAATAAATTTTTATTACTTCTCGCTATATTATATTCGTTTATATTCTTTCATTATTAACTTTCTCTAAATTTTTTATTTTCAATTCCTTTACATAATAATAATAATATTAATGTTGAATTTCTATTATCTTTAATAAAAATATAAAATACTTTAAGAATATTTATAATCCCAACTATTTTCATTATATATTAATTTTTACTCCACGATATACTTCAATAAATTTTCTTTTCTCGTTACAGGAAACTTTCTTAAGAGAAAGATAAAAGAGGAAAGAAAATGAAGTCAACTTTAATCGAGGAATATTAATGTACATTTATATTCCTCTCTTAAAGTTTTTTTACGCAACAAAATAATCCATGTGCTTCATTTTTCTCCTTAATTTTATACCACTATATAAATTTATCTACTAATCTTCCAATTCTTTCATCCAGTACTCTAAATAATTTCAATTTTGACTCTATCTACATCTACTTTTAATATCCAATCGAATAATTCGACTGCAAATAAATAAAGAACAATTATTTTCAGATTTATTTTAAAAAGACAAAAATTTTTATTTAATATCTTTGTCCATTTAAAAAATTTAATCATTGTCGAAAATATCTCCTTATATCCATAGCACACGAATTTCCATTCACGAAATTTTCTTTTTAGAAAGAAAAATAAAAGAAAAGAAATGCGAAATCGTTCAAATCAACACGGCTATCAAATTATTTTCCACTAATTTTCCTCACCACGTTTATCTGCATGTGGCAACTTCTTATCACTATCGTAAGAAATCCTGCAGGAAGGAAGCGAAATCGCAAGGATGCCTTAATCCTCGTGGTCATCTATCATCGCGGCCCTGGTTAGCCGATTCTATCTTCCAGCTTTTTTTCACGCGCCCTCCAGTCACCCAAGCCTTTTGTTGGCTTGTTTAATAACTTGTGATGAATGTACCTCGGGCTGCCTCGCTTCCAGTTCGCCCTGGCCGAGGATCCCCAGGGTCTCGAGATATCCTCGTTTCTTCTTCTCTCGCTTCCGACCCGTCAGAAATTAAAACGATAAATCCTTGACGGAGTCACGGGTTGCCGAGAAAGGTGTGATTTTAAAGTCGACTCTGATTTTCTCATGGAATTGGCAAATTTTAAATTTGATTCTTTCGATAATCGATATTTTGCGGGCGATGATTCGATCAAACGAGGATCAGAAAAAGATTTTTGAAAATTCGATTGCTCTGTTTCTTCTTCTCTCGCTTCTGATTTATTTTAGGAATTAAAATGATAAATCTTTTTGATGGATTGTAGAAAGAAAGAGAGAAAGAGAGAGAGATGCGAAAATTTAAAGTCGATTACGATTTTCCATGGTGAATTTTGCTTTTAACATTCTAGAATTTTAATAATCGATATTTCATAGAAGAAAAGATTTTCAATTTTTAATGGATATAAAATAATTCTAAACTTTCCT